TCTTCTTATTCCCATTTGGTACCGGGTAGTGTTCCAGTTAAGTAAAGCTAGGTTTGTTGTGTTTTTAAGCTGTTAATCTCAAACTGTGCCCCAAATGAGTCAGAACTATTGCAAAGCTCATCTGGTCATCTTGGCTGTCAGGCCCTGCCCCCTGCTGTCCGTTTTTTTATGTGCATTGGTAGTGTCTGGATAATATGGAGGTTTGGGATGGTACTGAAGAAAAAAAGTTTTAGAGGAACAATATTGTGTTAGGAATGCAAAGCTGTATTCCTGTCACTGTAATGTCCCACTGCCCCCCCCACCCCCGCTCACAGCAGTTACAGGGTTGAAAACCCTTTTCTCACTTACCATATTCCAGCGCTGAAGTTTCCTTGACATTGACTCCATCTCCGCTTTCTCCAACATTATTGTGTGAGCATTATTTCATTATACAGTGCAGCGCAACTTGTTGGCACTTGATAAATAATAATAATTAGGCCTTCCCCGTAGGAAAGCAATAAATCAATTCTTTCCTTTGGGGTATTTAATTACGCTGGATGTCCTCATGGACAGGGACACTGCAACCAGACCACTTCAATGAGATAAAGTGGTCTTGGTGACTATAGTATATCCCTTTGCAGAGAAAGAAGACATACAATGTTATTTTACAAGTATTAGTTGTTGTTTTTTATGCCCACAGACCTCCACCCTAACACCTGTTATTTTATAGGCCCCATCCCAGTGGCTGCAACATTGCTTGTGTTTAGTTAGTGTGAGCAGCCACTGACTCCTTACTATTTATTAGATATCATGGCAGGTAGGGGTATATGGGAGGTTAGAACGTAGGGGATTTGGCATTTTAAAATTCTTTACTGCTAAACATTGGAAGCCTCTTGGATCCCTATTTAAAATGCAATTATATGCTTGTCATTTTCTAACCATTTTTAATATTTCTCACATGTTCCTCTACACTCTTATGTAAGTCTGATGGTTCTAACTATATAATAAATAGCACGGTGGTAAATTAATAAATATACATTTATTATTTATTGCACTGGGTGTGTAATGCATTTTGGAATGAGTACATATCGAAGCATTGTTTGTATGCACTTTATTGATGTGGATTTTTTATATATATATATATATATATATATATATATAAATACACAAGATCCAGCGCACTCACCTATCCACTAAACAGCAACTTCAATGTTGAAAGATTTTATTTGTTTTTTTAAAAACACCTAATCTAGGCAAAAATAATGGGGGTTTAGTTACATTATATGATCATACATTGCATAAGCCTGCCACAACGTCAATGTACCCCATCTTTGGCAGGTCCTACACTAACAGCCTAATGTCTGCTCTTATGAGATTAACCTACTTGGGAAAAAAATTCCATCTGGGGCTCTCTGCAGTACAAGGCTAAATAGGGCCCTGGGATGAGGCACCTGTGACAGGGAGGGGTGCAAAACCAAGGAGTTGGCTAGACTCAGGGCCCTATTTAGCCTTGTACTGCAGAGAGCCCCAGATGGAATTTTTTTTCCCAAGTAGGTTAATCTCATAAGAGCAGACATTAGGCTGTTAGTGTAGGACCTGCCAAAGATGGGGTACATTGACGTTGTGGCAGGCTTATGCAATGTATGATCATATAATGTAACTAAACCCTCATTATTTTTGCCTAGATTAAAAAACAAATAAAATCTTTCAACATTGAAGTTGCTGTTTAGTGGATAGGTGAGTGCGCTGGATCTTGTGTATTGTATTATTTGGCCCCCAGCAGCACCCCCATTTATGCATGTTCAGGTGAGTGCAGCCAACCCCCCCCCCTTGTTTTATATATATATATATATATATATATATATATATATATATATATATATTTAGTGCACAGTCACTTTAGAAAAAATGTTTGGGATTCTGAATGTAAATATATTTTGATTGCGTGGTCTGTTCAATCGCCCTATCTTTTTCTTAAAAATTTATTGTAGGATATTTATAAAACAAGGAAAACATTTTGGTGTTTCCAGCAATAAAACAATATTTATTTGTGAGTAATTTAAATTTAAAAAGAAATTTAAGGAAGCGCTTATTTACACATTTTTTGGAATCCTTGTAAACTGTTGCAGTGTCCAAGTCGGCTAAATAACCTCTTGGTTTCCATTAGAGTTGTTTGCACTCGGCATCATCAATAAAACCAACACCCTCTCCACACTTCTAGCACTTCCAAGAGACCCTAAAAGATCCAGGATGTGAAATGGAGGAAGTACCGGCACAAGCAAAACCACAATATGTATGAGGTGAAATCAATACCTTTTAAATGTATGTTTATAAAACTTGATTTACATGTGTGCTTATTGCCCAATTCATCATATGTCTGCACGCACTAGACACAAGAAATTGGAGAACTGTGCAATAGATTGGTCCAGACACAAATGTGTTGGAAGCAGCACATTGTCAGAGCAAGAGTAATTTTAGTGTTGGTTGTGCTATCACCTTTTTTATGTTTAGGATTTTCTTTTTTGTAAATACGTTGTGTGGCCCCTGCTAATTATTGAGTTCAGGTTTCCCAGCCTCATCCATTTTTAACAGGTATATAAAACTCAGAACATAACCATAACATTTTGTAGACAAACACTGACAGTACAATTAGTTGTATTGTACAGAAGAGCTCAGTGGCTTTAGATGTGGCACTGTCATAGAATATCACCTTCGTCACAAGTCAGGGTGTGAAATTTCTGCCCTACTAGATCTGCCTCGGTTAACTGTGAAGTGGAAATATCTAGGTGCAACAACAGCCCAGCCTCAAAGTAATAGACCACACATACTCACTGATTGGGTGGCGCTGTTTGCTGAAGTGTGTAATTGATAAAATTCACCTGTTGCATCACTCACTACAGAGTTTCATTCAGTTTCAATTGCCTCTTGAAGCACTGTCAGAACAGGAACTGTGTGTTGGAAGGATCATGACATGGTATTCCATGTGAGCAGCTGTTTCAATGCCTCACATCAACATTTATAATTCCGAGTGTCAGCTGGAGTGGTGTAAAGCACCCAGCTCCTGCACTCCAAATCAGTGGAAATGTTTCATTTAATGGTGAATTCTCTCTAGTATCTGGCAGTATGATATAAGAATCTAGGGGAAGTGGATGCCAGGAGAATTCTCGCTACAGGGAATGCTTAGTGTGTCCTGTAGAGATAAGTGGAGGAGGGATCGTGGTCTGGGGCTGTTTTTCAGGATTTGGACAAGGCCCTTTAGTACCAGTGAAGTTGGGTTATTATTTGTTTGTTTGGATAGTAACTGTAGTTTGGGGGAGGAGTAGTGGTGGTACTGTGTGTGCATGGGGGCTAGGCACTTTATATGTTTGGGCAAATGGGCTGCAGACTGTGGGGTGTGGATAGACTTGTAGGGTGTGTGGAGGAGGATGGGGTTTTATTGTGTGTAGTGAAATAAGGGATAGCGGTTGAAGTCTGTGTAAGTTTAAAATACATATATTAAAAAATGTTATGCCTTCCTCCCTCTTGCTTATCTTGGGCCAGGGAGGGTGGAAACCTGAGCCTTGGTTTTACAGCATTGCTGTGGTAATTCACGTTAATGTTGTGATATTCACAATTCCTACACCTTGCAAATAGATGCTGGAGGTGTAGGCTGCAAACTAACTGGATTCTTTGTATTTTAGTGGGCTGACTAGTAAACAAGATCTTTTATCTCCCCGCTCCTGCGGAGCTCATTCTTTGTACAAGTACTCAGGTAGGCCTCTCAGCTTTAGTCCATCACTGTGGTCCAGCCGGCATAATCCCGGCTTCCCCATGGCCAATCAGGGCAAGAGTGACTCCGTATTATCACACATGGTTTTGGAATAGGATGTCCAGCAAGCTCATATCGATGAGTGTCCACATACTTTTGGCCATACAGTATGAGTATGTATTGAGTTATAACCAATGGAAGAGCATGTAACAGAAGATCTCATAAATAACCTCCTGTATAGTAAAACACAAAACAGGATTGATGTAACTGAACCAAAAATGAGAATTTGGGGGTAGAAGGTGATGTGACATATAGTTAATATTGCATTTCAGTTTATGTTGAAGTAAGATGAGGTTTGTTGTGTTTATAAACTTCCCAATAGTGGGACTCTATCAGTTCCACTGTTGAGCATCTTTCCTCATTCTTGGAGGTCTACAAGGGAATTGGCGGAACGATTTATTTCTCCACAAAGGAGATTAGGGTATTCTTCACTGTTCAAAATGGGTACTGTTATTTTTTTCTAATAAACAGAAAACCAAGGTGTGGTGAAGGAGCATGAGGACAAGACTAAACACAGGGGGCCTGTCTGTTACCTTACAGCATTGATTTTTTTTTGATTTTTTTTACAATAACCCATCACTATGGCAGTTGTCCATTTGATTTGTCTACTTCTTTAGGATATTGCTCAGTATAGAACTCTACAACAAAATAATTAACACAGCTTTCATAAAACATGGGGGGTTGTTACAACTGCAGCCAAGAAATGTGAGTGCATCTAGAGTAAGTAGAAAAATCAAGAACCCTCTTGGCACCCATAAGGTTTTATGCATGCTGCCCTGCATAACTTTTTACGACAATGTGTGCAGAGCCATGAAACATTTTGATGCTGTATACATGCCTTGATATGTTTCCCAATAACACACTGACAGGCCAAAAATACCACTCTTCAATTGACACACCTAATATTGTTCCGCAATATCAATGCAATTAAACTGCTATGCTATAGCTTGCTGCTTCTTAACTAAGATCTGGCAAGGAAGGGGTGAATATCTAGTTTTTGCAATGACCCCCTGCGTGGGAGCCGTTACTGGGTGCTGTGGGAGACGGGTGCTGATAGCTGATAACTATCATAGCAGTGTCTTGATTGCACCAGCCCCATTGGGAAATCTCTTGTCTTCCTGATGAGCAGAAAAAAGGGGGGGTGGAATCTGTCAGCTATGGGGAGGGGAAACACTGATACAGGGTTGACCCCATCCCTTTACATATACAGTTCATATTTGAATTGATCCACAGGTGTACTAGAGCAACCATAGCAATGTTCTGAGGGGCGTCAAACGAACACCTCACACAACAAAACTACAGTGGGACAGTGAGGAAAAACTGCAACAGAGAACCGTCCTATGAGAAAGGTAAAACCCAGTCAATAACTTACCCAATTTGCCTTACACAAGATGACATGTGTTAGGTATATATATATATATATATATTCATGCATACTAAACATACTAATTATAATAATTGTTCTAGATTACTTTCTCCCCTCCTATCTTTGATTGTTTATATATTTGATCAATTAACATTTCCCCCTACCAATCTTTCAATCTATTCTCCAGAGAAGGAGAAAGATGGGCAGGATGAATCAAACCAAAAGCCCTACCAAATGTGTAAATAAATTGATTACTAATCTACGTAAAATGTATGCCTTAACCCCATAGATAAAAGGTTTAATATTTGTCATTACACAGGTAAAAGAACAACTATACTTAATTGTAAAAACTGAATTATACAGTTTTTAGAAAGTCTTTTAAATTCCATACAGCATTACACGCTGCTTAATATATTGCTTTCTAGCTAAATAAAAAGCAGATAGAAGAGCGAGAATGTAATCTGACATTAAAACATAAACAGGGACATTTACAAAAATGTAAATTTGAAGTGTGGTTTAGGCCAAAAGAGTTCAGTTGGAACAATTCTACTAGTCAGGTTATTTTGACCCAATATTTCATAATGCCTTTGAATTTTTGACATGTCACATGACAATGAATAGATACAATGTAAACGCTATATACAGAGGGTGATGACATTGACAAATGTTCACATATATGGTTGTTTTTGCTCATTGTACGGCATTGCATTTCTCTGTACCACATCCATCAGATACTTTATAGACAATTGTATAATACATAATGATAATAGAATTGTAAAACCCCACAGACATACAGAATAAAACACATGCAGAGATCATTCACAAATGTGAGAATTATACGGAATTCAAGTAAATTTCAACTTTTGGGTCAAAATAGACAAACTGAAAAATTAGCTGACTCTGGAACTTTTTACACGTTGGTTATGTTGGCCTAAAATTAATAAACTCACACATTATAATTCACACTTTAATGTATACCCCTGCTCCTGCTAGAGAATGACTTTGCCAGTGCAATGCAAAACTGCAAATATATAAAGGTATTATACGTACAAAATATGGACTATGAAAGAAGCGCAGATGCACATCTCTTTTTGTTTGTATCATAGGAGTGGGCTATTTACAAGAGTAAACAATAGATGGACAGGAAAGTGTATGTAAAGGAGAGTGCGCAATATGATCAGTATCTAAACATTACATGTTAATTTTGGTGGTGAATTATCATGGTGAAAACAGATCTACTAACTGCTTAACCCTTTGTGTCTGTCTCTGTGTGTGTGTATATATATATCCACTTACACAAGTGTGGTGCAAACACATCCCATCTATGATTTACAGTTGCAGAATAATAACATTGCAAAATAAAATATGAAGTTTGATAAGAAGATATGCAGTGGTTACAGGGACATGCGAGTTGATTAACAGCAGGTATAGCACACAGATAGAGGAGAATGTAACTCAGTGCATTTACCTAGCTTGCTCCTGTATATTCATGTACAAAATTTTACTATCTCACCCCCTCAGTGAAACATAGGTTGCAAATGGTTGGATGATAGATTACATTTGGAATGGTTGCACAATAACTGCGTTGGCTGGCAGATAGACGTGATAGCTGCAGTTGCATTTAAACACCGTAGTATGGTGGATGCATTGACTGGCAGATAGACATGGAGGCTGCGATGGTTGCTGTACTAGCAGGCAAGAAGATTGGCACAGTAGCCCAGTAGTTACACTCGTGGCAGACATAGTCAAATTCATTGACAGGCCATTTACTCTTGTTTAAGTACATTCTCAATAAGGGAGATAATTGGGCTTTGCAGACTAAAGAGAGAGCACAGAACCATGGCGAAAAGGAAGGGGACATTATGAGGAAGTGTAATGAGGGAACGTATGATAAAGTCTCAAATGGTTTTGTGGGAAGAAAGTCTGATGCAATGGAAATAGGGGAGGAGTCTGTGGTGAAATGCAATGGAACATCCTTGGAACTATCACTAGGGCTAGCATAAATACACTAAGGAGGAACATTAATAACTTTAAATTATAAAAACCAACAAGATTCTCTGTAATAAAGAAGCATGAGGAAAGATAATAAGTGGAAAAACACAAAGTGAAACTTACCAAAGTGTGATTTCTCATCAGTTTAAACTCGTATGTTGCTCATTCATCAGTTTTACAGTTTAACAGGAGTTTTCACAGGTACATGTTTTTTAAATGACTTAATGAGATATTAAAAACAGATTGTAAGGGGCGGAGCTTGTCACCACACAGGAGCGGACACCATTGCTCTGAGCTCCGACACTTTGCCACACAATCTGCCTAAACCAGAGAGCATCCTGCTCAATCACCGGCTACAAAAGATTGCAGATGCCCTACTTTTCAACAACGGGCACAAAAACCCAAACTTGAGGCCCTAAGGCTTGCTGCAGGAACTTACTGAAAGACCCGGACAGTGGAATACACAGGAGTGCCCAGGTCTAAGTGAGGAAGGTGATATGGGGCGCAGGTCGCAAAAGCAGCCCATACAAAGCTGAAATTACAGCGGGACATCAGCCACATGCTGCTAGCTCCCCCCACACAACAGGCCCCGCCACCCCGCTCAGCCTCCCCAGCATCCTCGGTAGACGAGGACCACCTAGGCAGCCCCCCACCAGTTCTCACCCGGTGCTGACACACTCAGCAGGAGACCACAGCCAGGCCTCTAAAAGGGACATACAAAATATGCTCGCAGACCTGCAGCAAAATTTGAAGCAGATGTGGGAGGCTGACCTAGATATTTTAACCACCACAGTACAGGCTGTGGCAGCACGCACACAGGCTACGGAGACAGGACTTGCAGACCTAAAACATCTTGCTCTAGGCGAAACAGTTAAACAGCTACAAACAGCACAGGCCACAATGGCCACACAACTCAATGTCATGGATGATAGGGTCAGGAGAAAGAACTTAAAAATTAGAGGGGTGCCTGAGACGCTACCTCTGGAAGAAATTTCATTATACGTCTGGTGGGAACAGTCCTACCGGCCAGGCAGGCCAAACAGTTCTTATTCGACTGAGTATACAGAATCGCCAAGTCATCGGAGGACCCCTACTTCAGCACCACGTGACCTCATCTTACGCTGTTGCACAATGACAGACAACTTGGGATACTGGCTGCATTTCAAGGGAAGACTCCATATGACTTTGAGACATGCCAACTATCCCTCTTCCAGGACTTAAGTAGAGACACATTCCTATGGCGTAAAACAATGCGACCACTCAGCGCACAACTACAGGAAGCAGGGATTACCTACAGGTGGGCGACCCTTCTGGGTCTCCAAGGAGGGACAGAACTACAAGGCCTCAGACCCCAAGGAAGGCCCAGCCCTGTTGGCTACATTGGGACTGTCTAACCAACCCTCGGCCGTAACCCCTTGCCCTTAACCACAGAACACGGAGGGCATAGATGTCTCCCCACCCAGAGGGAAACGAGGTGCCACGACTTGACTACAAGCTCACCGCTACTATATTTTGTTTATCTGTTGGGACACTTTATGTTATTCAAATGGTTTGATTTTATTCTCTTCTCAAGTATCTCTAGTTCTGCCAGCCTCTTGTGGGTCAGCTAACACAGCCTAACACATGGTCAATAGGACGTGAGTGAGGCGTCCAGAGAACACATCTCTGTGCTCCGGTGCGCTACCCATCCTCCCCCATCCACTACCCACCCTCTAGACACAGATGGTCAACCACTCTCAAACTACAGGGTGCAAAGTACAGAAATACCACAGTTGAATAGCCAGTCATAAGTACCGAGGCCAACCCCGCTAGACCCTTTGACTATCTAGCCTTACCAACACCAGACCCCAGCAGCGTTGTCGGTGACCTCTCAGTAGTGTTTCTCACTCTCAATAATGATTCCCCACTTCTCGTTACCACCTCTCAGACCGACCAAAACACATAAAAGGGTGCAAACTGTATTTCTCTATACCTAAATATGTACCAAGTTGTAATGTTGACCTCTTTGTCATAGCTGTTGTGGCAATTCAAGGTACAAGTTTTAATCCTTGCACTGAAAATAAAGAATAAAAAAACCAAAAACAGATTGCAAGAAAAACGGAATGGAATCAGTGGTGGGAGAATTGTGTGTAGGGGTTAAATAAACTTGCAATCTACAAATGACAGGCTTACTCTGCATATGCAGATATACAAACAAAAGTTTAACACATATATAACTCAAAAGAAAATTCAAAGTGAATTTCAAATATAAAGCCTAAGTAGCCATACTGAAAGCACAGATGACCTAGAATTGTTTTTTGTTTTTTTTGTTTACTTCAATGAGTTTAATTCTAACTTTGAAATTCACTCTGAATTCATATTGAATTCTCACTTTGGTGAATAACCCTGACAGTTTCAGTGCCTTACAGGCCAATAACATGTCACACTGTCATCACAAGCAGGATCATAAACCCCATACCAACAACACTGTGCTTTTTGCCATCAGTAGCTCTGCAAAGCCCTGTCATCACTAGAACAGTGGAGTACCAAATATTGGAATTGGGTCATTGAGGACCAGATTGTTATGATGACAGTGGCGTACACAGCGTGGTGCCACTCCAGGGGCCCGGCCGCCCTGCGGACCCCTGCGACCGGATGCCCGCCGCCATGTGTTGCGGTCCCGGTCGCACAATATAATTGCCAGGCCGCAGGTGAATGGGCCCATCGGGTGGCCCATGCTCTTAGGGCCACCCGATTTAAATTAATATCTTCATCAGAGTGGGCCAGGTAACAGGGCGGACCTGATGATGTCAGACACTGGGAGGACGTGACTGCCACGGTCACTCCTCCCAGCAACCAACAGGAGCCACGCGGGAGGAAGCAGCGGGAGTCAGAGTGGGAACTCTGACTCCCATCAACCTGAGCCACTGGACCCCAAGGAAGTCACCCTCCTGCACCTAAAAGGTAGGTAATAGGAGGGTAACTAAAATAATTTGCATGTGTGTGTTAGTGTATGTATCTGTGTGTGTGTGTGTGTGTGTGTGTGTGTGCGTCTCTGTGTGTGTCTATGTATGTGTCTGTATGTATTTGTGTGTGTCTGTATGTATGTATGTGTATGTCTATGTATGTGTTTGTTTGTATATGTGTGTGTCTCTGTGTCTGTCTGTATGTATGTGTGTGTCTCTATATGTATGTCTATGTATGTGTCTGTATTTATCTGTGTGTGTGTGTATGTGTCTGTCTGTATGTATGTATGTGTGTGTGTGTGTGTCTCTGTATGTATGTGTCTATGTATGTGTGCTTGTGTGTGTGTGTATGTATGTATCTGTGTGTATGTATGTGTGTGTCTCTGTGTATGTGTCTGTATGTATGTGTCTGTGTGTGTATGTGTGTCTCTGTATGTATGTGTCTGTGTGTGTCTATGTATGTGTATGTATGTGTGTGTCTGTGTGTCTCTGTGTGTCTGTATGTATGTGTGTCTGTATGTATGTGTATCTGTCTGTCTGTGTGTCTGTATGTGGCGGTGGGGGGGTTATGAGGGAGCCCCATGGATCAGTTTTGCACCGGGGCCCCATGTATTGTGTGTGTACGCCACTGTATGATGACAAAGACTGCTGTGTAACATTACCTGGAAGGAAGGTGTATACATGCACATACATATGTATTGTGGCCTGATCTATGTTGCACTATGCTTATAAATACAATCTGAAGATATTTTTACATCTATTCTGATATCACTGGGATGAAAGATTGACATTTAAGAAATTCTCCAGTTTTGTTCTGTTAATTTCTTAGAACTGAAACTAGAAAAATGAAGGGATCAAATTGACTTCTTTTTAATGTGCACTCCTGTTTAATACCAGAAGACTTTAAGTTGCCTGCTGCTATTGTTATGCAGTGTTCATTATTTGTCTTTTGTTTGTATATATATACACACTTCTTACCATAAGCTCCTAGTGTTGAATTTTACTAAAAAATCAGTACTGGCTCTTTTTTCCACTGCATTCAAAACATATAAATATCTTTGTCAATGTATGACTGGCTGGTAAGTGATTAAAATGTGTATTATTTTTAATTTTTATTTCCAGCTGTCTTCTGCTGTCAGTGTACAGAGAGCATCCTTTGAAGAAGAGATTGTCGTTGTGAACCTAGTGTGTCTGAAAAACAAGTGGACAGCTACCCACGATGTCCCACAGCAGTTACTATGAGTGTGAAAAGCGTGGTCAGAGTTCAGGATATCCTTCTCGCTTGGCGGGAAACCAAACAGAAATGGGGGGCCCTCTCTGTGACCATGAGACCTCTGTGGATTTGTCCACGTATATTGACACAGGAGAGGAACTGTTGTCTGATCTGTTTCCTATGAAGCAGGAAAGACTTAAAGGGACATACTCTTACTTACCTCCTGAGGGAATACCCTCAGCTGCCCTGTATGGATACCCCCCTAGCATGGCCCAGGAGCGCAGGTTAGGAGGGTATGAATCTGGAGGGGTGATCGTAAAGGAAGAATCACGTGGACCGCATAGGGGTGTGTGTAACACTCTGCAATACCAAGCCGCTCAGTGTGGGCAGACAGCGATGCATCTTCCTCCACCCATGGAAGGAGTGCACTCTGCAATAAGAGTACTAAAGGTGAGGAAAGGTTATCTACACATATTAGTGATATTGCAGAAGGTCTTGATGGTAAGGTATGTCTTTTTGCTGATGATACTAAGATATGTAACAGGGTTGATGTTCCAGGAGGGATAAGCCAAATGACAAATGATTTAGGTAAACTAAAAAAATGGTCAGAATTGTGGCAACTGACTTTTAATGTGGATAAGTGCAAGATAATGCATCTTGGACGTAAAAGGGCAGAGTACAGAATATTTGATAGAGTCCTAACCTCAACATCTGAGGAAAGGGATTTCGGGGTGATTATTTCTGATGACTTAAAGGTAGGCAGACAATGTAATAGAGCAACAGAAAAAGGTTGCAGAATGCTTGGTTGTATAGGGAGAGGTATTAGCAGTAGAAAGAGGGAAGTGCTCATGTCATTGTACAGAACACTGGTGAGACCTCACTTGGAGTATTGTACGCAGTACTGGAGACCGTATCTTCAGTATTGATACTTTAGAGAGAGTTCAGAGAAGGGCTACTAAACTGGTTCATGGATTGCAGGATAAAACTTACCAGGAAAGGTTAAAGGATCTTAACATGTATAGCTTGGAGGAAAGACGAGAAAGGGGGGATATGATAGAAACGTTTAAATACATAAAGGGAATCAACACAGCAAAGGAGGAGACCATATTTAAAAGAAGAAAAACTACGACAAGAAGAGGACATAGTCTTAAATTAGAGGGGCAAAGGTTTAAAAATAATTTCAGGAAGTGTTACTTTACTGAGAGGGTAGTGGATGCATGGAATAGCCTTCCAGCTGAAGTAGTAGAGGTTAACACAGTAAAGGAGTTTAAACATGCGTGGGATAGGCATAAGGCTATAGGATAAGGCTAGGGACTAATGAAAGTATTTAGAAAATTGGGCAGACTAGATGGGCGGAATGATTCTTATCTGCCGTCACATTCTATGTTTCTATGTTTCTACACTCAGCCAGTGTTAGAAAACACGTCTCATTATCTCCAGTCCTTCTTGCTCCTTAAACAACATTACTATTAAGATACAGTTGCTAATGCACAGCACTATAGGAATCCTTGTAGACATACATAGTGCATAGTATAACTATTCTATGAGAATATTAGGCATGTTTTTGATTATAATGTATGGGTTATATAATTAATTACATTGGGGTAGGTGAACAACTGGTAGAAAAACATGATTCACTTCAGATGTCATAATCATAGGTCTTTGTAAATATATTATGTGAGTGACGCCTTATTTACCAGTCATTTCAAAATTATTATAACAAAGATGATTTAGTGATGGTGAAATTAAGCAAACTGTAATTTAGTTTTATTTTGAACAATTTTCCATCAAAAAAGTCTAATTTTACCCATTTGGCAATGTCAGTGCAATACCTTTGAAGACTTGCCAAAAATATATCCATATACCCACCTTCAATATAACCATATACAAGCAATATGGCAAGAACTAATCCCACCTAGGTGCTAGATATTGTCTTCATGACTTGACCATGAATCTAGGAAAATAGTTGAGCAGGCTAACGCTGTACATTGTGTAAATATTAAATTAGATCTTTATACAGGCCAAGAGCATACAATGATTTGGCCTTAATGACCTCAGTCTGAACATATACCTAACCATACATCTGCCATCTCACACCACCTCTCTTTTTAAACTTTTCCATCTTGCCTCTTCTTTCAGTGTCTTGTTTCACCCTAACTTGCCACTTTCCTTTTCCCAGGGTACTCTGCCTGGGATGTTATCCGCTCCACCTCTGAAGGACCCATCTTCTAAAGGAAAGAAGTGCTTGAGCAAGGACAGCATCGAGTACCGCCTGCGCCGTGAGAGAAATAACATTGCTGTGCGCAAGAGCCGTGACAAAGCCAAACGCAGAAACATAGAAACTCAACAACGTGCGCTGGAATTCATGGCAGAGAATGAGAAACTGCGCATTCGTGTCCAGCAGCTGACTCAGGAGCTGGATGCGTTAAAGGGAGTTTTTAGGCAGCTACCTGAAGCAGCATCTCTTGGCAAGGGATCTGGTGGATGTAGCTGAGACTCAAAAATTAGAAAGTACTTTCAAGAAAGACTATTAATCACGTGTTAGTATGGATAGTCCCAATTCAAAGGGTTCTGGGGGAAACTTATTAATTACAGGATGCAGGGGTGGAAACAGAATGTGATCTCACTAAATAGCTTTAAGCTAAGCACAGTGTCTATTCACTGCAAGTTAATGTAGAGGTTTTCAGTATTTAATAGAGGTAATTACTACCACTTGAAAAAAGAAATGAAATAAAAGACTATGGTGATAGGGGCTATTTATACTATCAGACTAAGTGCAAAGAATAAATATGTGTACATTTTAGAGATAATATTGTGCATTTCAGTATTAAAAACTGGGATCATTTCTCCTTTCTGCTGTCATTCACAGAGTACTTTGTGTTTAAAAAGTTGTAAACCTAGCCAAAGGCATAGAGGGATACTGGTTGTAACTTGGCAGAAACAAAAAGATATTTAAACGAATAAGTATTTGTATAAGTGTGTAATAGCTGTATTACAAGGAAAATCCCCATTTGATGTAGAACTACGGCTGCCATGATGTTGTGCCAGCCTTTAGAATGTCAATGCATCATGAAATTTGCAGTTCTATAACGTCTTGGATTCTATATTTTGCACACTCCTGCATTGTAAAAAATCTTTTAGCCACTCCTATCTAAGCAATCTATATAAAAATGCTCAGGTGTTGTGTAGAATGTTTACCTAGAAGATTCTATTATTAGTAATAAACATATAATACAGCAGTTTTCCGAGAAGTGTACCTAAATTACTTGGCATCCAGGGCAAATATGTATGTTGGCATCCTCTCTGAATTGTAAGATTACTTCTTGTGTATCTCTTAAGCCCCCTTACCTCTTGCATATCTTAAGGAAACATTTCGGGCACCAAAACCACGACAATGTTCTGTAGTGGTTATGGTGCTAAGAGTGCCCCTGTGCCCTATGTAAATAGTCAAAGCATTTTAGATTAAATTCATATCTTATCTGGGGTCATGGGGCACGACTTAGCACACTGGTGTTGCAAGACTTAGCACAATGGAGATCAACTGATGCTTTTAGCCACTGAGCTAGCTCTACTCAGACTACTTGCATTGGGGGGGACATGGTACTCCTTGTACCATAACTACTTAAACTGTAGTTGTTATGGTGCATAGAGTGATCTGTTAAGGTTGAACCGTTAGCCCCATAATACATCCAACAGGTGTTGGATACAAAGAGTACCAAGCAGGATGGGGGTGCTTAGTGCATCTCTGTCTGTCACTTTGAGTGGACTGCATTATGGTTGGTATGCTACTGGCAATTTTTTTCCAATGGATGCAAGTTTCTCAGAGTTAAGTTTATCTCTTGTAATAGAATTCAGTCATTAGTACCAAATAATATCTGTCTTCACTTAACCATTCTAATACATGTTTAAACTTGTAAAAAGGCCAAGTAGGAATCTGTGAAGTATGCAGTTAAGATTAAAAAATAAAGTTAAATGTTTGGTTACAATATTTGTTTGTGTATTTGTTGAATTGTGAAATCCCCTTATTATGCCATAAATAACCATGGTTTTATATGAATAAAAAAAAAACCGCTATGCTTACTATATAACAGCAACAATGTATAGATAAAACTACATGTTGTTTAAAATGACACCAAGTCCTATTAGGTGTTATAGTATGATTTCTCATCTAATTGTTTAACTGCCATGAAGACGATTCTGTGACAATATCCTGTGACATGATATGGTTTTAGACTGTTCTACTGTATTGATCCCCTCTCTCTTTTTACATGTATATAGTTATATATAGTTATCTGTGTGTGTATATATATATATATATATATATATATATATATAGCATGATGTGTCTAAATATACACATGGGAAAGACAGTCACAAGAAGAAGTGAAACAGCCCAGAGAAAAAGAGTATTTTTACCTCTCTCATCTCCTCATCAATCTCACCTCTCAGTGTGTCTGTCTCAACTCCTCCATCCCTACCTCCTGTACTATAAACCATCTGCCCTCTCTTATACCTTTTCCTTTCACGCAGTACCTCACACCTTTCCACACTATACCTCGTATATGTTACCTGCCCTCTTTTCTTATTTCATTGTCACTCCCTATCCTCTAACTTTTTCTGACTGTGAAAGAGAGATGTTCTTATTTCATCATTATTTTCGCAGCTAATTTTGACCACAGAATTACACCATCATCCTGTTTGAGGGAGGTGGAGACAGAATAGGGGAATGATGGGTTGATGGGGGTAGGGTGTAAAGAACTATAAAATAAATTATACAGTATATATCAAACTACATATTTTATATTCCCCTCTATGCATGTAAGGTTTTACTCAATATTTATGTACTTGTAATTAAAACGCATATTTTAGTGCATTAACAGAACATTGTGATATATCCAAATATAGAAATTGTTCATTTTCAACTGTTTTACACATTCAAAAAAGTGAGAATTAAAAATGAATTCAAATTTAAGGAAGGCATAGCTGATTTAGAGACTTTTCACAGTTTGGTATTTTGACCTTAAAGGAACATACAACATTAGGAATTCAGGCACATTTTGCTAACACTATAGTGCCCTGCTACCTATTCTGATGTGTCCCACTGCAGTGTGAGGTTTTGAAGGGTGAGTATTACTTACTTTTCAGCACTCACCGCACCAGTGTCTGTCCTGTCGCTCCTCCTCCTTAGCTAAGATTATCAATGTAAATGATCTCAGTCAATCCAATGTTTACTCATATGGAAACATTGGAAGACTTGTGCACTATGCCAATCACTGCACTACGCCAATCGGATGCTCTCTATGAGACCATCTGATTGAAATAGCCGAGTTTAACTCAGTGTGACAGCCATTAGAGCCATGTAAATTCTGCAATGAAAACATTGCTGTTCCTGCAAAGCGGTAATGTTTTACATTGCAGGGTTAAAACTACTGGGACATGGCACCAAGGCGACTCCATTGAGATGAAGTGGCCTGGATGCCTATAGTGTGCCTTCTATATATGAAATTCACTTTGACTATACTTTGCATTCTCACTTTAGTGAATAACCTTGTTTGAATCAATTAAATAATTATTTAAAAATAACAATGTCTGAAGGAGTTTGCAGAGGCAGCGATTTTAGAAATAAAAAAACCTATAACATCATTATAATTATAAAATGTTGTTCTGTACAAAGTAATGTAAACATTTATATAAAGGTAATACGTTTGCTGCTTTCAAGAGCTTAAAAAGGAACTGTCACATTTTTGTTCATGATAGTTCTTTTTTTTTTTTTAAACCATTTACAGAGAATGTAAAGATTGAAAAAAAGAGAAGTACATAAATATGACCTTGCAAAAAAGAGACGTTTAAGAAAAACTGAAAATATATTTTTGTTACGTTTTGATAATGTCATGTTTTACTTTAAGACAGTGGTCATTATAATCAGAGACTGAAGGCTTTGGTTGTTCACGGATCATGTCACTGATCATGTTTGGTGTTTTAGCTGTATTCTAATTGGCTGAAGATACCAACCTTTGAGCATGCAGCTTTAATTTCATTTTTACTACTACAGCTAAAATGCGGTACTTTTTTCTGCAGTACAATGCATAAATTACAATGGTTATACATTTTACATATTACATACTACTAATACTTATGAAAATGCATATTTTCACTTATTAAGCCATTTTTGCTAATGTTTTACTTATCCTTTAATACCTTGCCCAGTGGCAAGATCCTACAGGGCTTGACAAATCCCAGGTGGTGGGTCGCCATGGTGACTAGGAATTTCATCCTGGCGCCTGGGTGTTTGTCAGCCCTGACCACCTTATTGCCCCCCAAGGTGGGTGGCTGTGAGCAATGGAGGCAGGCCGTAAGTGAGCTGTCATCTTTCCATTCTTCTTGCTGTGCTCCCTCATGTGACCTGCTGTGATGCTGGCATCACTAAACTGAGTGTGTGTCTGTTTAGGTCACCGGCCCCCCTCCGATCCCTTGGGAAAGGTGTTTTTACTCATATTTTTCTGATTCTTGATGATCTCAGCCAATCCAATGCTTTCCCATTTGAAAGCATTGGGAGGCTATTGCGCAAGCGCGGCAAAAGGCTGCTCCAATCATCATCATCTCCTGATAGAGATGCATTGAATCAATGCATCTCTATGGTGAACGTTCAGAGCCTCCATGCAGAGCGTAGAGATGCTGAACGTAGGTGCCGCACACTCTACAAGAAAGTACCAGGAAGCAGCTCTTGTGGCCGTCTGAGTGACTGCCACTAGAAGTGCTACTAGACAGCAATGAAAACACAGCATTTTGAATGCAGTGTTTACATTGAAAAGCCTGAATTAGGCAGCTGGTTCTATAAGCAGCCTCCTCATATTAAAAGGAAGATCCCTTTCTATTAGGTTAGGGGTTATCAAGTTTTCTTTTGGCTTAAGTCACAGATGTTTTTTGAGCCCTACAACACCCCTACCTCAACTAAATAAAGCAGTTCTAACACACCCTCTCTGCAAATTAATATTAATGCCTTAAATGTCAAACAATATAATTTCCTCTAATTGTGCTTTCAGTGTAGAGCAGACAGTCACCATCATACATTGGAGTATATGATTCCTCAACATGGCGCTGGCGGCCCCCCACGCTCAGTTTGTGAGAAGAAGTTAAGTCGTTTTTTACGCACTCTTGCTGCATATCTCACCGCGGCTGACACTGTAATAATACTTAAACAGTGAATAAAAAAAGGAACAAACTCTCAAGAAAAGTGTTGCAACAGTTACAGACATTTAAGAAAAAGATTAAAGCATTTAACAAGAAAATAGGGTAGACATTTAAGCAGATCTCAATCTTGACTTATTTTGTTTATACAGTGTGCAAATAATAATAAAAAAAACAAGATCTGGAAATTAACAAATCTGCAACAATGATGGCAAACATTTGTGAGCCTGTGTGCCAAATCATCTATAGGAATCAATTAATAGAGATAGAATTGACACTATCTTTTTTTTCACCCTATCATCACCACAATTTTCTCTTCCCAGTAAGCGTCCACTTCTGCAAAAACCAAGTAACAAAATTAGTACTCCCTTATCATTTTGTGGGAATCCACCCCCTTTGTCCGCTGCTGCATCAGTAAAGTGATTTATGTTTACTGATATCAGTGCTAGCAACAGATCCTAGCATGACCCATTTAATTGGGCCTCCAGATCTCACGTTATTCATAAGAAATAGTAAACTGTCCAGGTAATCAATTTGCAAGATGGGGAAGACCCAAAACTGAAAAATAATATATTAAATCATCAAAATATACAGTAGACAATAAGCACAAATATAAATGTGGTTGGGTTGTGGCTAATATAATAATAATAATAACAAAGTATTTAACCAGGAAAGGTACATTCAGATTACTCTGGTTTACAAGTAATATGATACTAATATACTAAATTACCAATCCAACTAATAGTTACCCATTCAACATTAGTGTGAACCAGTTATGCCACGTTTAACTAAATGCAAAACAGATCCCAAATGTATAACTGATATCAGACATGTGCACATAGAAAAAAAAAGTGTTTGGTTTTGGTAATTCTGAAAGTAATTTCACTGAAATTTTGTAATTATCAATTCAGAACGAAAAAAAATTTATCCCCATATTTTTGGAAATATCCAAAATTTGCACGTAGGTAAGTCAACTAATTTGGAACCCTGATGTGGGATTGCCCTTTTTAGGATATTGCCCTACTTAGGATATCAAATTTGGTGTCTGTTTAGTAGAAAGCTCCTCTAATTTCATACCCAGATGTGGGACTGCCCTACTAGGATACTAGATACGGGTTCTGTTTTGTAGATAGCTCCTTTTATTTGGTAGCTCAGTGTGGGACTGCTCTACTTATGATACAAAATGAGGGCGCTGTTTAGTAGATAGCTCCACTAACTTGATACCCTGATGTCTTATTGCCCTACTTAGTATACCACATTTGGGTGCTGTTTAGTAGATGATCATCCCTATTAAAATTGCCCTGTCATTTACCTATCAAAGAAGTGTAGCACCCAAGTTAGATAGTCTACATACAGCAATCCCACATAACTGTACCAAATTAGGGAGCTATCTATTAAACAATGCTTACATTTGGTATTCTTGTATTTCCTTTGTTGGTTTCATTTATCTTCAATCATCAACCCCTTAAGCTTTGTGTTGGCACTTAATCTCACTTGATGTACATGGCAATGCCGCATAAGGATAAGACATTAGGGAGCTATCTACTAAACAGCATCCTAATCTGGTTTCCTTAAATATGCATTCCCACAAATCAGGATACCACATTAAGGGAGCTATCTACTAAACAGCAAAAACAATTAGCATCCTTAAATAGGCATTCCCACATAAGGGTACTAAATTAGGGGAGCTATCTTCTAAACATTGACCTAAATTAGTATCCTACGTAGTGCAATCCGTAAGGGTATCAAATTAGGGTGCTATTTACTAAACAGCTGAAAGAGAAAAATAAGAAAAGCAATTTTTCTTAAATTTGCTCTTTCAGTGGTTTAGTAGAT